GGAGGAGGAGGAGGAGGAGGAGGAGGAGGAGGAGGAGGCCCCAGGAGACTCCCGGGCGGCCGCCGGGACGCCCCCGAGGAGGCCCCCCCCGGGAGGCCTCCGGCAGCGCCCCCCGCCACGGCTCATGGCAGGCGTCCTGGAGGCCGCAGTTCGCTGGGGGGCAGTGCCGCGCGGCGGGCTCCGGGGAGGCGTCCAGCGCCTTCCTCGCGACGAGAACGAACAACACACACCCATACCCATAGGAGGAGGAGGAGGAGGAGGAGGAGGAGGAGGAGGAGGAGGAGGAGGAGGATGAGGAGGAGGAGGACCTTCCTGGAGCCACTCGCCCCCTCTCGTGCGCCGAGCTAGTATGGAACAGATCCGTGAGGTGGTCCCCGACGTCATGCTTTTCAGAACGTCTGCCCCCAGAGGTCTCGACCCATTCCCCACGATGACGAACGAAAGACGCACCCATACCCATAGGGGGGGTCGTTGGGAGGAAGACTGGCTATGGGTCTGGGTGCGGGTTGTCGGACCCTGGGGAGCGCTCCCGTTCTCAGGAGCGGAATAAGGACGTACACGTACATGAATCCACGCTGTTTTCGAGAGTACGCATTGCCCGAATGTTCGTATCACGCGGCCAGTGTCGCGGATCGAGGGGCCGTGTTCATGTACATAGCTGGGCGCGTACGTCCTTTGTGGGCTCCCTACCGTTCGAGCGGGGACCCCCATCCGACAACACGCACCCATAGCCCTCTCCGACCCCCCTATGGATATGGGTGTGTGTTGTTGGTTCGTCACCTCGAGGGTGGCCGGGACCCCAGGGAAGGGGACCCGGTTAGTGGTAGGGCCCGGGAGCTTTTGAATTGGCCAGAATCACCAAACCAGGTTTGCCACAGCTGGAGTTTTTTTCGGGTGACGGCAGGTCGGGTCAGTGGAAAGGGGACGGGGGGGGCGCCCCCGGTACAGATCACTAAACCGGGTTCCACTGAACCCAGTTCTGCCAACGCCCAACTCCCTCCGAACAGCGTCGGCAGGCTCCCAGAAAGCATCAGATGATTGGAACAGAGACCATACCCCACACCTCTCGGGACACCCCTCGCGCGGGAGGGGCTGCAGAAAATAGCTGTCCGATCCAGCCGCGGATGCCCGGCAACGATGTTTCTGCGTCCCCTCTCGCGCCGAACGTGTCCCAAGAGGTGTTGGGTGTGGTCTTTGGTCCGATAATCTTCGGCCTCCTCCTTATCCTCCCCGTCTTCGTTGTCCTTCGCCGCAAGATCTCCTGCTGGAGCTGCTGCCGCTACTGCTGGAGCCGCACTGTTGCTGCAGCCGCACTGCTGTTGGAGCCGCACTGCTGCCGGAGCCGAACTGCTGCGGTTGCTGCTGCTGATGCTGTTGCTACTGCCCGTGTTCTTGGACCTGCTGTCGCTGATATTGCTAGCGCTGCTCTGGACGCCGTCAGAATCATCAAGCAAACAGCGCACCCTGTAACAATCATCAGCAGCAGCAGCAGCAGCAGCAAGCGCTCTCTGATCACTAGCACTCGTGTACGGTAATACACGGGTCAGCCCTAGTCTCTCCTACATGGCCAGTGGATCTGCGTGCGAGAATGGTTCACAGGGCCTCGTGTGCACAAAATCGCCCCTTTACGCCACCACGGGGCCGAGTCGCTCAGGCCGGTCCCAGAGGCGCTCCAGAGGGGTCCCAGACCGTCAAAGAGCGCTCCAAGACAGCCCCAGTGGGTCCCGAGACGGCCCACGAGGGCCCGAAGCCTTCCGGGGGGAGCTCCACGACGATCCAAGAGGCCACAAAGACGCCCCAAGAGGGCCCCGACCGCACGCCAAAGAGGCACAAATCGTCAAATTCCGATGGGAAAACGTACATGTTCAGCATGCCCGCCTTGTGTGCTCCTCAGCGGCCCAGGACACGCCAAGAGGCCTCCCCAATCGCCCCAAGAAGACGCCAGCGCCCCTAAGAGGGCTCCAAGACGGCCCACAAGAGCCCCAAGACGACGCCAGAGAGCCCTCAAACGGCCTCACAGAACCCCAAGACAGCCCCAAGAGAGCTCCCAGGGGGCCCCAAGAGGCTCCCAAGACGGCCGCTGGCAGCCTCAAGAGAGCTCCAAGACGGTCCAAGGCCTCCCGGACGCCCCGTGACGGCCCAACAAGGCCCCCAAACGTCCCAAAACGCTCCCAGAGCAGCCCAAACAAGCTTCGGAATGGCCCGAACAAGACCCCCACACGGACCACCAAGCAGGCCCAGAGACACCCACTAAAAGAGCGATCGGTGAAGTACAAAGCTCTTCTCACCAAGGCTCCCAAGATCGAGACGCAGCGTAGAGAGCTCTCCCTGGCACAGCTCCCAAGAGCGAGCGGTGACGTCGGGACACCCTTCCGACCTCTCACAGGAGCACGCACGCACAGCACGCAAGCACAGTAGATTTCCTGGGCTGTCCCCCGGAAGAGGCTCGGGGGACAGCCCGGGAACGGCCCCAGAGGGGGCCAACAAACACTTCAAGAGAAAAGGCTCCCAGGAGGCCGCAAGACGGCCCAAGAGGGCCCCAAGAGGCCCCCAGAAGGCCGCAAGACAGCCAACGAGGCCCCAACAGGCCCCCAGGAGCTTGTTTTTTTATTTCTCGGACCCGTAACGCCCGTTACGGGGGGGGTTCCCCCCCCCCCTGTAACGGTAACGAGCGTACGGGGACGGGGGTGCGGACCCCCCCTCCGTCCAGGCAGGCATGCTGTGACGCTCACATGTGTGCTCAGGTTCGAGGTTCGAGGTTCGAGGTTCGAGGTTCGAACCTCGGCGCAAACTCAAAATGGGTCCACGGGGCCCGACTGGGGCTCAGACGCACCAGTTTCCCGAGCCGCGTCCAGCCGCGGCGACGACGAAGGCCCTCGAGGGCCAGGATGCCTCGATCCTCGAGGTTCGAGGTTCGCATCCCTCGGCGCGAACCTTTCAACGGGTTCCGGCCTGGCCCCTCCAGCTCCTTTGCCTTGCTTCTGCGCTCCCTCCAGTGCTCGTGCCCTCCACCTCCTCTCACCTCCTGGGGGGAGGGGGGAGCGAGGCAGAGGGAGGATGAGGAGGAGGAGGAGGATGAGGAGGACGAGGAGGACGAGGAGGGTTGGAACAGGATCGGAGGAGGAGGTGATGGGGGATCGGAGGAGGGGCATGAGGAGGAGGAGGGGACAGGGCGGAGGCCGGAGGCCTTCTGAGCCTTCTCAGAAGGCCCGCCCCCTGTCATTTCCCCCCTCGGCTCGCCGCCAAATCTTGCGGGCAGTGCCAACGGGCACTGCGCTTCAGCACTTGATCGGCGGTGTGGCGCGCCACAGAAGCCACAGAATGGTCGTCGTCATCCCTGCCGCGTCCGTTGTCATTATCCTGCGGGCTGCACCCGGAGTCCCGACGCCCGCCTGCCAGCACGACGTTTCCCCGAACAGTGCGCGCACCAGGAGTTCCTGTGAAACGCAGCGCCACAAAGTGGCCCCGCCTTTGGCGCAACCTGTGGCGCAACCATCGACGCAACCTATGGCACGCCCTGAGGGCGCAACCTAAGGCGCAACGTAAGGCGCGATTTGTGGGGCGCCCTGGGTGCGCAACCTATGGCGCAAGCTATGGCACGCCCTGGGGGCGCATCCTATGGCGCAGCTTACGGCTCAACCTATGGCGCAGGCAACTGTACGCAAACACAACGTGTGGTTTAACGCATCGGGCAAGCCATGGCGCAACCAGCCGGTGCACTCTCACAATATCATTATGACTACTACCATTGTCTTCCCTCCATTCTCCCTGTGCTGGTGCAAGGGGCTGGACTGGGCGAGACCTGCACGCGGATGTGGCCGCATGCCCTTCCAGCGCTCGGCCCTCCTACCTCGCGCGGCTGGTCACGCCAACCCCCCGCATGTGTATCCAGCAAGTGGGCCCCAAGCGCTGCTGAAGCTTTCGGCAACTGGCTGCGGACACGGCGGCGGCGGCGGCGACGGCGACGGCGGCATCGGCGGCGACGACGACGGCGGTGACGGCGGCGGCGGTCACCTTCACCGCCGCCGCCGCCGCTTGCCGCCGTCGGCGTCGTCGCCGTCGCCGCCGCCGTCGTCGTCGTCGTCGTCGTCGTGGTCGCCGTCGCCGCCGCCCGTGTCGCCGCCGCCGCCGCCGTCGCCTCCCCGGTCGCCGTCGCAACTGACGGCGACGACGACGACGCACCCGCGTGCACGCTCCAGCCGTCGACCCATGTCTCAAGGGCCTTGTGCCTGTGCAGGGAGCTCCTGCTTCCTGTATTCCCTAGGCTGCCGCCGCCCCGCGCGCTCCCACGGCGCGTGGTTTACACTCCGCACAAAACAAGCCGTACACAAGCTTTGTGGTGCACACATGCCATGTGGTATACACTCCCATGATGTACACAGTCGCAATGGAGTACACAGGCGCCGTGGGCTCAACAGGTCCGAGCGCTTTTTGAACCAGAAAAACTTAGATCCACAAGCAGCTCACATAATGAAAGGGCCACGGTTGGGCCCCGAGCGATCTTCTGGACTTTCGCTCCGCCGGTACCTTACAGGTGTACACAAAGCTTGTGGTATACGTTGGCATTCTGGTGCAAACACGGGGCGTTGAAACAGCAGCTGTGGTGCACGCGGGCGCCGTGGTGTGCACCAACAGTGAGATGTACAAGGGCGCCGTGGTGCACCCGCCTGTCATGATGTGTTCAGTCGCCGTGGTGCACACACATACCATTTTTGCCGCAGTTGTGGTGTACAAAGGCATCGCGGTGTACAGGGCCTGTGTAGTGTGCACAGGCACGGTCGGCTTCGACGACGACGACAGCGGCGGCGACGACGACGACGACGACGACGAAACCTACCTTGCCGACAGTTGTGCTGGTAATAAGTACCAGGGCCCGTGCGAGGGCCCCGCCGCGCGTTACCGTTACCCCCAACTTGGGGCTGGATCCCCCCCCGTAACGGGCGTTACCCCCCCCCCAAAAAAAACAAGCTCCAGGAGCGCGAAAAAAAAACCAGAGGCCCACTAACCGTTCCCAAGGAGACGGCAGCGCCCGCCACCAGGCTTCGAAGAGGCAGCCAGGAAAAAGTCACCAGAGCCCTCCGGGTGACTTTTTTCAAGGCCCCAGGTGCTTTCAAAATTGACAAGCGGCGAGACGTACACCGCAGACCCACCATAGCCGTCTGTGACGCTCCGAAGGCTGTCTAGGCGGAGGTAGAGCGGAAGGCGGACGAGCGGGCCTCCGAGACGGCCCAAGACCGCTCGGAGACGCCCCAGACGAGCCGCGGCAAACGAAATCATTGATTCTTTCATGGTTTCTGAAAGATTTCCACCTTCTCGCCATTTCGATCGAAGACAGGCCCAAGACGGCCTTCTCGAGCCAAGACTGGCCCAAGACGATGTGGACGAAGTCCACGGGTTTGCCCTAGTCAGCTACAATGTTGGGATCAGCGCGTGCGAGAAGGGCGGGCAGTGGCAGCGGGCGCTGGCGCTGCTCGGCGAGCTGCGGGAGGCGAAGCTCGAACCCGACATCAGCTCTTCTACAATGCAGCGCCTCTTCCGCTCAAGAAGGGCCTGTGGTTCAATGTGTTTTTTTCTGGCCTCCTGCAGGCCCCCGGAGCCATCGAAGCTAGCTTGGGCGCTCCAAGGTGGCCCAGGAGGCCCCAAGACGGTCCAAGAAGACCCGAGATGCCTCTATACGCACCAGGAGGTCGCCAACATAGACGTCAGGCTGCGCAACGGGGCGCAAGAGGCCCTCCAAGCTCTTCGAACACCAAAAAAGGAATCATTGATTTCCTTTTTTGGTGTTTGAAGGATTTTGACGTTCTCGCCTTTCGGGACTTCCCGCCCTGTAAGATTCGAGCGCGACTCACGAGGCTTGCAATGTTGCCCCAAGACGGCCCGAGAGGGCCCCCAAAGGGCCCCCCAGACAGCTTAAGAGGGCTCCAGGGCGGCCCAAGAGGGGAAACTCGAATTGACATTACCCTCAGTCCTACAATGACCCCCCAGATTGCCAGCAGGTCCCGAAGTGGTCCCCCCCAGAAGCTCTAGGAGGCCCCCAAAGAGCTACAGGAGGCCCCGACGCACCAAGCAGACGGCCATCAGAAGCTTCCTGCTGCCACAAGCAGCAACGACAAGCAGCAGCGGCAAGAATTACCAACAGCAGGCAACAGCGGCAGCAAGCAGCAGCACGCAGTAGCATGCGCCGAATGCGAGGGTCGAGCCCCACGTAATTTCAGCCGTTCGGCAACATGAACACAATCACGTGCCAGTTCATGCAGATTCCGTGGACGGAGTCCACGGGTCAGACCCTCCTACAATGGCCGCAGGAGCGCTCGCAAATGGGGAGAGCGGTGGCAGCGGACCGCCCCCCCCCCCCCAGCAGGCCCCGGCGCGCTTCCAGGATGGCCCAAAAGCGTTCCGAGACGCGGCGTCTCGGACGCCCCAGGAGGCCCCCAAGAGGGCCCCAAGACGGCCGAAGATGGTCCCAAAGGGTCTCCGAGACGCGCCCAGAGCGCTCGACAACGCCTCAGACAGCCGCCAGACGGCCCAAAAGGCTCCGATTCGCTCCAAGTGGGCTCCAAGAAGAGCCCCAAGAGAGCCCGAACACCAAGACATCGTCCCATTTCATTGAGAAAACGTGCATCTTGGCAGTTCCCGGGCTTGCCCTCTTCATAGCGTCCAAGACGACCATCCAAAGTCCCAAGATGGCCCCAGGATGGCTCCTGAGGCGCCCCTGGCGGCCCACGAGGTACCCAAGACAGCTTCAAGAGCGCCCCAGGACGGCCCAAGGCGGCTCCCAGACGGTTCCCAGACTGCTCCAGAGACGCCCAAGACGGCCCCAGACAACCCCCAGACGGCCCTAGACGGGCTCAACACGGCCCAAGAGGCACCTGAGACAGCCGAAGAGGGCCCCAGGAGGCTTCCTGGAGGCCGAAAAGAAGCGCCGAGAGGCTCCTAAGCGATCCCCAGAGGCCCCAAGATGACGACCTACGAAGCACCGAAGACAGCCCCAACAGCAGCCAAAGACTGCCTAAGACGGCCCGCAGACGGTCCCACAACGGCTCCAAGCGCACCATGGGGCTCTTCAGCCCTCCAGACGCTTGTTTGGCGCTCCCTGCCGGATTTGGCCCAAAGTCCATCGGCTTTTTTGTCGGTCTGGAGCCTTCTCCTCGGCCTCTTGGGGCCATGCCGTGTTTCGCTCTCGCAGCCTTCTCGGGAGCTTCTTGGGCCAGCATGGAGCCATTTTGGAGGCGTCTGACGCGCTCTTGGGCCGTCTGGGGCCGCTTGGGGCCCACGTCCCAAATGATGTATGGGGCCATTTGGGAGGCGTCTGACGCGATCTTGGGCCGTCTTCGGCCGTTTTGGGCCGAAGTTCCAAATGCTGTGACGATGATGATGATGATGATGATGATGATGATGATGATGATGATGATGATGATGATGATGATGATGATGATGATGATGACGATGATGATGATGATGATGATGATGACGATGATGATGTTGATGATGATGATGATGATGATGATGATGATGATGATGATGATGATGATGGTGGTGGTGCTGGTGATGATGATGATGATGGTGTTGGTGTTGGTGATGCTGATGCTGATGCTGATGCTGACGGTGATGGTGATGATGGTGATGCTGGTGATGATGATCATCATGATCATCATAATCCTAATGACCATGATGGTCATGATGAATCATGATGTTGATGATGATGGCGATGATGATGGTGATGCTGATGATGGTGGTGACGACGACGACGACGACGATGATGATGATGATGATGCTGCTGATGATGGGGGAGTGATGAAGTCACGAGCCATCTCGACCCAGTTCCTGACTCCGTGCCTGGGCTCCGATTGGGGCTCTTCGACCTCCCTGACCATTGCTTGGCGCTTCCTACTGGATTTGGCCCACAATCTCTTTGACGTTTGGTCGGTCACGAGCCGTCTCCTGGACCTATTGGGGACCTGCTGTTTTTTTTCTCGTGCAGCCCTCCTGGAGGCATCTTGGGCCATTATGAGGCCATCTTGCAGCCATCTTGGACGACATTGGAGCATCCTTTGGGCCGTCTTGGGCCGTATTGGGCCAACGCTCCAAATGATGTGACGACGATGATGATGATGATGATAATCATGATGATCAGGATGCTGATGATGCTGATGATGATGCTGCTGGTGAATATGATGATGATATCTATAATGATGGCGACGACGACGATTATGATGATGATGTTAATGCTGATTCTGATGTCATTGATAATAATAATAATAATGATGACGATGATGATGATGATGTCGATGATACTGATGATGGTGGTGATGAGGATGATGACGACGGTGACGATGCTGATGGTGCTCATGATGAGGATGCTGATGCTGATAAGGATGATCAAGTCGCTGAATATGATGATGTGGAGGATGGTGCTGATGATGATGGTAATGATGATGATGATGATGATGATGATGATGCTGCTGCTGCTGCTGATGCTGATGCTGATGCTGATGCTGATGCTGCTGATGATGATGATGAGGATGAGGATGAGGATGAGGATGATGATGATGATGATGATGATGATGATGATGATGATGATGATGATGCTGATGATGATGATGATGATGATGATGATGATGATGACGAAGAAGAAGAAGAAGAAGGCTCCCAAGAGTGAACATTGCTATGGGCCATCTCGCCCCAGCTCCTGCTTCCGAGTCTGGGCTCTGCATAGGACTCTTCGGCCTTCCAGACGCTTGTTTGGCGCTCCCTACCGTATTTGGCCCCAAATCCCTTGCCCTTTTTCTTGAAGCCCTCTCGGGGGCCTCTTGGGCCAGCATGGAGCCATTTTGGAGGCGTCTGACGTGCTCTTGGGCCGTCTGCTGCCGCTTGGGGCCCACGTTCAAAATGATGTCGTAGACGGAGTGCACGTGTCAGCCCTAGTCTATATTCTAACGCCGGGGGAGCCGCGTGCCAGAAGGGCGGGGGATCCAATGCGACAAAACCGCCCCCGGGCGAGCCCAGACGGAACTCGGACGGCCCAAGAGGACCCACGACAGCCCAAGAGGAGCCGAAGAGAGCTCCAAGGGCGGCTCAAGATGGCCCAAGACGGCCCAGGGGCAGCCCAAGAGGCGCCCAAGTGGCCCGAAGACGTCCCCAGGGGCTTCCAAGACGCCCAATGAGTCCCCCAAACGGATTCTTCAGAGGGCCCGTAGGATCAAAAATCGTCCCAATCCCTTAGGAAAAGGGACACTTTTGAGATTCCGCCTTTCTTCGTATCCACGGATTCCTAGACGCCCTGCTGGCCTCCCAGATGGCCCCAAGAAGCTCCAAAATGGGCCCCTTGATGGCGCCAAGACGGACCCAGGACGGCCCAAGAGGCGCACAAGACAGCGCAAGAGGCAACCGAGCCAGGCCCAAGAGCGGCCCAAGACGGCCCAAGACGGCTCCAAGACGGCCAAACAGGCGCCCAAAAGGCGCCCAGTACGGCCCAAGGCGGCCTCAAGACGGCCCAAGAGGCACCCGAGACGGCCGAACTGAGCCCCGAGAGGCCCCCGGGGGGCCCAACGAAGCCCCGGAGGCTCCTAAACGGCCCCCAGCGCGGCTCCTCCCCCTCCTCCTCTTCCTCCTCCTCTTCCTCCTCCTCCTATTCATGTCCCCCGCTCACTGGAGCCCCTGAGATAGAATACTGCAAACCAAACAATCACCAAGCAACTCAGCAAGCATATCGCAGCCAACCAGCTACAACACACACCACGCAAGCCATGTATCGTGGACGGAGTCCACGGGTCAGCCCTAGTTCAGCTACAACGCTGGGATCAGCGCTTGCGAGAAGGGCGAGCAGTGGCAGCGGGCGCTGGCGCTGCTCAGCGAGATGTGGGAGGCAAAGCTCGAGCCCGACGTCATCAGCTTCAATGCGGGGATCAGCGCTTGCGAGACGGGCGCGCAATGGCAGCGGGCCTTGAGGCTGCTGAGCAAGGTGCGGGAGGCGAAGCTGGCGCCCACCGTCATCAGCCACACCGCTGGGATCAGCGCTTGCGAGAAGGCCGAACAGTGGAAGCGGGCACTGGCACTGCTGAGCGGCATGGGTGGGGCGAAACTGGAGCCCAACGTCATCAGTTGCAGCGCTCTCATCAGCGCTTGCGAGAAGGGCGGGCAGTGGCAGCAGGCGCTGACTCTGCTCAGCAAGATGTGGGAGGCGAAGCTGGAGCCCAACGTCATCTGCCCTATATGAGCGGGAGCGGCGCGTGCCAGCAGGGTGGCGGCGTCAAGTTGCCAAACTCGTTCCTGGTGGTCCCCAGCGGAGGCCAACATCCTTAACTTTTTCCATGGTTTTTGAAGTAGTTTTGCCTTCTCGCCTTCTCGGCTAGCCGACGCTCCAAGACGGCCGAAGAGGCCCCCAAGACCGCCCCAGAACGGCCCAAGAGGCCTCCAAGCGCGTTCCTCGACGGCCCAGGGAGCCCCAAGGTGGCCCAAGAGGCGCCCAAGCCGGCCCCAGAGAACCCCAAGCCAGGACCCCCAGGAGGAAAAGAGGCAACAAATGCCCCATTCGCTTCGGAAGACGTGCGTTTTTGATATGCTCGCTCTTTTCATCTTCACCGCGTCCAAGACGGCAATACAGGCCTTCCCGATCGCCCCAAGACGCCCCCAGAGCACCCCAGGAGGGCCCCCAAACGGCTATATAGGCCTTCCACCTCGCCCCAAGACGCGCCCAGAGGCCCCCAAGGGGCCCCACACGGCCCCGACGGCCCAGGACGCACCCAAGACAGCCCCAAGAGCAGCCAAGAATGGCCAACGGGACGCCTCCGAGAAGCTCCAGGGGGCGCCAAGACGGCCTCCGAGCACCCTTGGGAGCCCCAAGGCAGCCCCAGAGGCCCCCAAGGCAGGCCAGGAGGCTCCCAAGACGGCCCAGGAGGGCCTCCAGGAGAGCCCCAAGAGGCCCAAATCGTCCCATTCCCGACGGGAATCGCACATTTTCGCTATGTTCCGTTTTTTCGTTCTCGCAGCGTCCAACACGGCTATAGAGGCCCTCCACCTCGCCCCAAGACGCGCCCAGAGGCCCCCAAGGGGCTCCACACGGCCCCGGGACGGCTCCACGGGCGCCCGAGACGGCCCAGGACGCACCCAAGGCAGCCCCAAGAGCAGCCAAGAATGGCCAACGGGACGGCTCGGAGAGGCTCCAGGGGGCGCCAAGACGGCCTCCGAGCACCCTTGGGAGCCCCACGACAGCCCCAGAGGCCCCCAAGGCAGGCCAGGAGGCTCCCAAGACGGCCCAGTACATTGCTTTTTCGTCCTCGCAGAGTCCAGAAGGCTATACAGGCCCCCCAGCTCGCCCCAAGACGCGCCCAGACGCCCCCATGAGGAGGGCGCCCAAAGGGCCACACACTGCCCTGGGACGGCTCCAGAGGCGCCCCAGACGGCCCAAGACGCACCGAAGACAGCCCCAAGAGCAGTTAATAATGGCCCAAGACGGCTCCACCGCCCCGTCTCCAAGACGGCTGTAGAGGCCCCCGCCGCCCCGTCTCCAAGCCTTTCCGTTTGGACAGTCTCAAAGACGGTCTCTGGGCCGTCCGGGACGGCTCCAGAGACGCCCGAGACGGCTCAACAAACACCAAAGACAGCCCCAGTATTGGCCCAAGATGGCCCCAAGATTGTCCCAAGATGGTCCGAGAAGCGCCCAAGACGGCCCCACATCGCCCCAAGACGGCCCAAGATGCACTCAAGACTGCCAAAGAGGGCTCCGAGAGATCCACCCCCAGGAGGACGAAAAGAGGCCCCCAAGCGGCCCCCGAGAGGCCTTGGATGCTTCTGTCTTTGGGAGCGTCGAACTTCCAGCATCGTTTTGGAGGCTTCTTGGACCCTCTGGGAGCCATCTCTGCGCTATTTGGGGACGTCTTGGGGAGGTGCGCTCGAAAAGTCGATTCGTGTCCTCGCACTGGGGCCCTTCTTAGGGAGTTCCGTCTCGCCGCCCTCTTGCGGGCCTCCTAGGCCGCGCCCACTGGCCCCATTGTCACCACACTGCCAGATCAAATTGTCTTCCGGCCCCGGCGAAGATCAGATAAATTTCTCACGGCTACCTTCCCCGCAGAAGCTATGATGAACACAGACTGCAGCGTCAGAAACAGCTTCTGTCCACACCATGTCATGCCTACATGGGTGTGCTTCCACTGACACCGCCTCCACCACCGCGTTCCTGCCTTAAGCCTGCTTGCCTGCATCCCTCGCCCACCTTCCCCTCCAGCGGCCACCTCCTCCATCCACGCCGTCCCCTCCAACCTCCCCTTACCCGCGAGGCCCCAGAGACGCTCCACTTCCACGTGCACGCCAGGGCGGGCAAATTCCGCGGCCGGAGGCCGCGGGTCAGCCTAGTCTCTACTACATTGCAGGCATACGCGCGTGCTAGAAAGGCGGGGGTCGGGGAGCTGCTCCGGCGCCCCGGCCCCGGGCGGCGCGGTTTAAAGACGCCCCGGGCGGCTCTGGAGAGGCTCCGGAGGCCCCAAGAGGCCCCCAAGACAGCT